GAGCAGCTCGGAGGGCCCACGTCTACCTAGCAAGCTCACTGATGGCCTGGCCTGTTTCTTTACGTTTGCTGGTCTGTTTGTTTATAGCTCATGTTTCAAAGCAAGCATCAGTGGTACTGGGCTACCTGTGTGCTTGTCTGAATTTCCTGTGGGCATCAGCGGCTATACAAAAAAGTATCTGTTGTGGAAAGGGTCACCTTGTACACTGTCCTTGCAAAAGCTCTTTTCTGATTGATAGAGGGAGTCTGCTAACATTACAAGCGTGATTTAAATGGTTAACATCTATCCTGAAGGCCTGTCTTTGCTATTAGCTTTAACCAGAGTTTTCCATAGATGAGTATTATCAGCAGGTGCAGGTGGAATTGCTTTATGCCACATGTGTCTACTAAGTTGAAAATGAAATGTGCTAGGATTGACGAGACCGTTCTTTCTTTTTGGAAACAGAATTGGACAAATTATTACCATCCGAGCGAAAGTGACTCGGGCGTTCAGCACGAGCATGGAGGTGAGTGGCCCCCTTTCCTCGGGGCTGCCTGTTGGAGGACGTGTCTTCACTGCTTTCAGAGCACCAAGGAGGGTGCTTAGAACATGCTTACAGCTGATAGGATCCTGAATCTCAGAAAGCCTTAAGTCTGTAGTCAGACATGCGGGTGAAGGCTGAGGAGCTGATGCCCCCCACTTAATCCTGCCACTCACATTCAGTGTGACACCGTGTTCTACAGAAGGTCACACGCCAAGTGAATGGGCAAGGGGGGAGGGGCTTCCTTTGCGTTTTGCGAACTATAGATTCTATTTCTTACTTCTTCTTACATTACTATTACCCAAGCTGTGTGTCTCCATCTCCCCCGGCCCCCTGCAGGGCAAACTAGCCAATAAAACTACAAGAGGCAATTGGTGCCTCTTGCAGGGCGAAACCTCCTGTGGGCTCTCTGCGTGTCTCAGGCTTGGTGAGGCCTGCCTAGAGAGAACTCAGAAGGTTCCTAGCAGTGTGGGAGATCTGGAGATATTCACTTCACAGCTCCCTGGTGTGAGGTGGTTTCCTCTGAACTTATTCATGCTGGGCATGCTCAGATTGGTATCAAGCCAAAGACCACATGCACATTTCCAGAATTCTCTCTTTATGTAGATATCTCTTTTCTGGTACCCTGCCCAACAAATTCCAGATCCCTTGTCTGTTTGCTCTCTGCTTCTTCCACACAACAGAGGTGAGCTCCCCTTCCCCAACTGTCATCTGTGAATTACCTTCAGGATGAGAAGAAATGATACGTTCCCTTCATTTGTTTTCCTGTCCTGGGACATCACAACACTTGTTACCTGTTTCCTATCTGTAGAAATGGTCACTTCCTATACCTTATCTGGTTTTCTACTTCTTTTCATAGAGTGGAATTCCCTTTCCCCTACTCTGCCCTAACATAGTGAATTCCCCATGCCGTGTCTCCGAGACACTTGTTCATCACACATACCTCAGTCAACTGTCCTGGTAGCTGACAGTGTCTGAACTTTAACACTCCGGAGTTGTAGCTAGGCTTTTCTTGTTTGATGTTTTATTTTATTCTTCCTTGTGTATTTCTCTAACATGAAAATCCATGTGGCTGAGGGTTGTTTATAGAGGTGAAGAATGATTGATTTGTGTCTGATTGGTTACCATCCAGTTAACTTGAGATTTACCGTGCAAATATAAGTTTCTGTTTTAAATTAAGTGACTTAAAGTGAGTCATGGGTTATTGATTATTTTTGTACATGGTGTTCCTGGCGAGGATGTAGAAATATGTGTACTTTATCATTCATTACTCAGTGCTGAACTGAGATGTCCCAGGTTGTCCATTATTCTCAGAAGATAGTATTACTTATCTGGGTGAGATATGCGGAGAGTGTTTATTAGTCCAACTCTAGAGGCCTTTTTCTGTGGCATGCAAGTCTGCAGAGCTAGCTTCAGGACTCCTCACAGGGAGGGAGAGCCACCCACGGCAGAGTCCTTACAAAATGCCTTAGTCACTTGCTGACTACTCCAGAAAAAAAACGAGCTGAGGAAACTAAGTCACAGCTAACAGCAATTCCGACCCTGTTATTGTGGGGTATAAAACGTAACAACTAAAGGTTAAAAACAGTGATAGTTTCTCTTGCTGGTAGGCTGTCTTGCCCCTGAGAGAGAATTCACTCAAATATGATTTTGAAATGTTTATTGGAGCAAAGCAAACTTTTAAGAATTAGAGTGTAAAGCTTCAAATGTAACATGATAAATTTATAATGTATGTAAACATTGATGTGTACCTTGTATATACATTTATAAAACACATATGCAATATCACATGTATGTATGTAATATTACATTATATACATGTAATACAGCATATATGTAGCTGGAAGAAATTAACCTAAAAGTTAGTTAAGTATTTCTTCTGGGTAATGAGCTGATATAATGTTTTCTAGATAGCTAGATCACAGCTATTTTTCAAGGTAAGTGTGTGTATTCCCACATTCGGAAGAGTTTCATTTGTCATAGTGTAGAGCTCATCACTGAAAAGATAGCGTCACTGAAAGATAAGCTAAAATGCCGATGTCACTTAAAAACTGGAAGGCAGGGTGGAGAAGTGTGTAACCGTGTTTTTCACATTGCAGTCGAATCTCTTATCTGGGTGATTGACGGTTTGTTTTCTTTCCTTCAGATCAGTATCAAGGTCATAGTACAGGACAAGTTCACTGGCACTGAGAAGCTCCTCTGTGTGGCTTTCTCTACGTTTGTGGCTAAACCAGTTGGAAAAGAAAAGGTAAATTTCCCACATGAGCAGATACCCTCCTTGTAAGCCAAGGACATAGGAATAACTGCTTCCGAATTATTTTTTTCTTCCTCAAGATTTTTTATTCATTGATATTTATTGGTATTATCCTGTGGTTACATCATAGAGCTGAAGAGGAATATCTTTTGAGAGGAATACCTTAAAGGGGAAAAAAGTACCAACTTTATAAAGGAGGAAAACAGTGTTTTAAATTATCTGAAAGTCATATCTACTTAAAAATATTGCTTACTGGATTAATTCTTTTTTTGGTCATGGAGTTCAAAATTAAGTTGGACTTTTTCTCCTTTTTTAAGCAGGAAAAATTCGGCAACTAGTTGAAAGTCATGGTCCAATCATTTTTTAGACCTTCAGGAAAGTATCAAAGTTGCTGAGTTAGTAAAATTTAAAAATAAACTTTAGGGCATCTGGGCTGAAAACATCCTTGAAAGGAATATTGTGTCCTTGTACATTGCCCAGCTCCCACCCAGCCAGAGCCTAGCTCTACCTCAGAGTAGGATTGCCAGGATTTCCTCCATGTTGCTTCCATTCAGACGTAGGGGAAATCGGCACACTTGAAAACGGTAATAACTCAGATTATAATACGAGTATGTCACTCAAGAACGATAAAGAAACAGGGGAAGGTGGCTTCTCCTAATCACTTGCCAGTGACGAGGCCTACTGCTCACTCTTCCCTGGTGCCCTCGATCTTCCCCATAGCAGTCACACAGCTGTGCCAACACAGCTTGAACCAAGTCTTGCTCCACTGCCGCCAGCCAAGGGGACCACCGAGCCATGCTTTACAGCTGCTCCAAACCTAGGCCAATGGCACAGCTGGGCGACATCACCATCATGCTTGGCTGGCAGATGACCCCACAGAATTTTGGTACCTGGAGTACTTTCTGTAATACAGGCCTCATGTTATAAATGTGCCGCAGGCCAATTCCCATTGCCAAAGGGATGCTTTCCAAACTGAAGTGCGCATCTATCTGCTAATTACATTATCGAAACAATGAAAATGCTGCTTCCTGGGACATAAGCTGGACCTTGTAAGTCATTGATAAAGCATCACAGAGACCCTGCGTTCATGAAAAATCTAAGCAGTGAGAGAGGTCACCTTCAGTTTCTTCTTGATTCTCTTGAAAACCTTTAGACTTTTCAGAATGGGAGTGTCATGGGGTAGGTACAGAGTTCCCACACTTGACAGCAAATGACAGGATGGAGAATCCATCACCATCCTTTGCTTCACATGGAAGAAGAGGCCATGTTTTCCCCCTCCAGCCTCATACTTCTCATTCTGGATTTAGGAACAAGTGGAATAGGTACATGTGGGCACACCTCAGTCCCATCTCTACAGAGACGAGAACTGGCTTCCAGGAGCCACTCTGGGGAGCCAGCTACCTTATGGTGTTATGACAACTAGCTACTTCAGTCAACATAAACGGGAAAGCATCTTTCCCAGATGAGCTAATTTTCTAGTTGGTACCTTCTTATTTGATAGCACATTATGTGGAGAGGCGTGAAAGGCTGGGGTTTGGTTTGAACCACAAGGAATACCAGACTCTCTATCCCAAGTGAGTTCATTCCAGGACAAAACTGGCAATGATTAACAAGATTTGGTTCAACAGTTGCACGGAGCAAGTAGTTAGAAGGGCCCACAAGACTACACTGTGTGGAAGGAAGAAGGCAGCAGAAGGATGGTCCGTGACCTTCAGAGGGCGTCAGCTTCTAGGCAGCACTTGCTCTCAGGTTTATTTTCAGGCACACAAAATGTACTTCATGGACTAGGAATCATCACATCAGATGCAAGGGTCTTCTTTTCAGAGGAGGCAAGGTACAAATTTCCCAGGCTACCTAATATATTCTGCTGATCATGCAACCAAAATGTGACATCCCAGAGAGTCACCGTCAATCTACACATTCCTGACACATGAGACAGGCAACTCAGGGAGCCTTGGACTTTAAGCAGCACATTGCAAGTCACTAGATTTTTCACCCTTATCTGGGTAAAGGGTCAGGTTCAGACCGGAGGTATCTTGGAGCTGCCAAGACCTTTCACACACAGAACCAGCACGTGGGCATCTGTAGGGGAGCTGGAGCCTGGACACTGCATCCCAGGACTCGGGAGGGCAGCTGAAGCGTTATGCTGACGTATTGATTCTTTCAGTTTACCTAGTAGACACTGTTTTGGCCATGTGATGAAACATCCAAATCAGGAATACCTCTCGGTACAAGATGGTTTTCTCTAGAATGACTTTATTAACTCCCCTTGATATCTTAATTTTGTAAAAAAAAAAAAAAAAAAAAA